TCTCTGGCCATTTTGAGAAGGCATCAGCAATCAACATGTACTGTTTTCCCGTTTATGGGACCGGCGAAATCCACATGCACTCTTGACCACGGATTTGTCGGTGTCCCCCAACTCTGCATTTCTGTCTTGAGAGGGGCTTCGATGGCTTTTGCACACGCGAAACATCTCTCAACATATTCTTTGATTTGAGCATCAATATTCGGCCAATATACATAGCCACGTGCATGTGCCTTCATCCGTGCTACCCCTGGGTGTACAGCATGCAGTCCTGATATCACCTTACGGCGTAAGTTTGTGGGTACAACTACTCGATTTCCAAACATCAAGCACCCGTCCACGAGTGATAGAAAATTTCGACGGTGAGAATACTGTTCAATGTTTTTGTTGTCTATATGAGCGGGACAACCATGTTCGAGGTATCTAATAATCTGCTTCAAGCTCGTCGTCTTCTTGAGTATAGGGTTTAATGTCTTCAGAGGATAACGGTGTTGCTTCTATGGCAACTTGTAGTATTTGGTGAATATCATTTTCCAACGATATCGTTGCGATAATAGAATCTTCGCTTTCCTGCTTCTGATTCGCAATTAATCGGGATAAAGCATCAGCTTGTTCAAACTTTTCAGTTGATTTATATAGAATTTGGAAATCATAAGCAAGCAATGTAATAGCCCAGCGTTGTAATCGATTCTCTGTATATGCAGGAATACCTGACTTCGATCCAAATATAGATAGAAGCGGCTTGTGGTCCGTTAAAAGGGTAAGTCGACGACCATAAGTCATTTTATGAAATTTTTTTACTGCAAAATCTAAAGCTAGTCCTTCCTTCTCAATCTGACTATATTTTCGCTCAGCTGAGTTAAGAGTTCGGGATACATGAGCAACTGGCTTTTCTTTACCATCAGGAAAACAATGGCTGATAACAGCTCCAATTCCATAGTTGTAAGCATCGGTGGCTACAATTATTTCAAGCTTAGGATTGTAATGAGTCAGCAACAGTTTAGAAAATAAAATCCTTTTTATTTCATCGAAAGAATCTTGACATTCCTCTGTCCAGTGCCATGTTGTATTAGCCATCAAGAGTTGATTTAATGGGTGTCGCAATTTATACATATGGGGTACGAACATACTATAATAACCAATCATCCCCAAAGATGAACGAAGGGTCCTAACCTCAGTCGGTCTGGGCATATTTTTGATAGCATTTATATTGTCTGGATCTGGTCGACGACCATTTTTATCAAATATATATCCAAGGTATTTAACAGACTCGGGCAGAAATTCACACTTTCCTTTTTGTAACTGAAAACCAGCTTGTGATGTTTTAGTGAGCACCACGTCTAACCGACCCATTAATTCCTGCGCAGAAGAGCCAACAACTATAATATCATCCAAGCAAACTGCTACACCTTCGACGTTAGACACCATAGTATCCATTATCTGCTGGAAAATTGCTGGAGCTGGCTTAACACCAAACGGTAATCGGTTAAATCGATAGAGTCCATGGTGGGTATTAGGGTTAGTAACTCCTTTGAATCTTCGTCAGCTTCCACTTGTAAGTAAGCTTCAGATAAATCAGGTTTAGAAAAATAACGTCCATCGTTTAATTTAATAAATAAATCCTTTGGCAAAGGTAATGAGTATGAATGATTTTGTAAGGCGTCATTTAATCCTGTTGAAAAATTTGCACAAAGGCCAATAGATCCGTTCGCTTTCTGAACTAATACAAAATCATTCATACCCATTACCTTTGCCAAAGGATTTATTTATTAAATTAAACGATGGACGTTATTTTTCTAAACCTGATTTATCTGAAGCTTACTTACAAGTGGAAGCTGACGAAGATTCAAAGGAGTTACTAACCCTAATACCCACCATGGACTCTATCGATTTAACCGATTACCGTTTGGTGTTAAGCCAGCTCCAGCAATTTTCCAGCAGATAATGGATACTATGGTGTCTAACGTCGAAGGTGTAGCAGTTTGCTTGGATGATATTATAGTTGTTGGCTCTTCTGCGCAGGAATTAATGGGTCGGTTAGACGTGGTGCTCACTAAAACATCACAAGCTGGTTTTCAGTTACAAAAAGGAAAGTGTGAATTTCTGCCCGAGTCTGTTAAATACCTTGGATATATATTTGATAAAAATGGTCGTCGACCAGATCCAGACAATATAAATGCTATCAAAAATATGCCCAGACCGACTGAGGTTAGGACCCTTCGTTCATCTTTGGGGATGATTGGTTATTATAGTATGTTCGTACCCCATATGTATAAATTGCGACACCCATTAAATCAACTCTTGATGGCTAATACAACATGGCACTGGACAGAGGAATGTCAAGATTCTTTCGATGAAATAAAAAGGATTTTATTTTCTAAACTGTTGCTGACTCATTACAATCCTAAGCTTGAAATAATTGTAGCCACCGATGCTTACAACTATGGAATTGGAGCTGTTATCAGCCATTGTTTTCCTGATGGTAAAGAAAAGCCAGTTGCTCATGTATCCCGAACTCTTAACTCAGCTGAGCGAAAATATAGTCAGATTGAGAAGGAAGGACTAGCTTTAGATTTTGCAGTAAAAAAATTTCATAAAATGACTTATGGTCGTCGACTTACCCTTTTAACGGACCACAAGCCGCTTCTATCTATATTTGGATCGAAGTCAGGTATTCCTGCATATACAGAGAATCGATTACAACGCTGGGCTATTACATTGCTTGCTTATGATTTCCAAATTCTATATAAATCAACTGAAAAGTTTGAACAAGCTGATGCTTTATCCCGATTAATTGCGAATCAGAAGCAGGAAAGCGAAGATTCTATTATCGCAACGATATCGTTGGAAAATGATATTCACCAAATACTACAAGTTGCCATAGAAGCAACACCGTTATCCTCTGAAGACATTAAACCCTATACTCAAGAAGACGACGAGCTTGAAGCAGATTATTAGATACCTCGAACATGGTTGTCCCGCTCATATAGACAACAAAAACATTGAACAGTATTCTCACCGTCGAAATTTTCTATCACTCGTGGACGGGTGCTTGATGTTTGGAAATCGAGTAGTTGTACCCACAAACTTACGCCGTAAGGTGATATCAGGACTGCATGCTGTACACCCAGGGGTAGCACGGATGAAGGCACATGCACGTGGCTATGTATATTGGCCGAATATTGATGCTCAAATCAAAGAATATGTTGAGAGATGTTTCGCGTGTGCAAAAGCCATCGAAGCCCCTCTCAAGACAGAAATGCAGAGTTGGGGGACACCGACAAATCCGTGGTCAAGAGTGCATGTGGATTTCGCCGGTCCCATAAACGGGAAAACAGTACATGTTGATTGCTGATGCCTTCTCAAAATGGCCAGAGATCCACTACATGAAGTCTCTTTCGACAAAAGCTACTATCGAAAAACTCAGACAAGTATTCAGTTGCTTTGGGTGTCCAGATGTATTGATGTCTGATAATGGACCACAGTTTACCTCCGCTGAATTTTCGAAGTTCTGCGTCGCCAACGCCATTAGGCATATGAAGACACCCCTATACCATCCGCAGTCTAACGGTCTAGTCGAGAGGTTCGTGGATACGTCTTAAAGAGCACTGCTTAAAGCCGAGAGAGAAGGGGAAATAGAAGAGATGATTCAAATATTTTTAAAAACCTACAGAGCAACACCCAACCCAGCAACAAATAATCAAGAAAGTCCAGCAGAAGCAATTTTTGGAAGAAAGATTAGAATACCTATAGAGCAAATGAAACCAAAACCTAGAGCCAACCTCCGCAAGAACAGACGAATGGAACAGAGATTCAACAAGCGGCAATGGCAAGAAATTTCACAGGAATAAAGTAAACGTGGAAGTTTGGCATCACAATACGAAAAAAGGGAAGGTTATCCATGAAGTAAAAGTTGGACAAAAGATATGGGTGCGACGTGCAAACCAGATACAGCCAACCAGACAAGGGTGGGAGACAGGAGATGCTATAAAGTCGAATATACCATTAAATATATTAACTGAGTTGGATAATGAAATTAAAAATGACCCGAATAATAATAACAAGACGTATACAACACTCCCAAGGAGGTCACAGTGCATCAGGCCGAAACCTAATCGAATAAAAATAAATCCTAAGGATCATTATTATCTCTAATGCTTCAAAAAAGGAAGGTGTTATGTCCTAGTGACGATTAAATTACGGGTAACTTCTGAGGACTATTAATGGACTAATATTCTATAAATATTCTTATTGTATAATAATTCAATAATTAGATTATGTATATTTATATTCCCCTTATTATAAGCTCCATTTTGACCTATAACTTATTATTATACGATTTACTGTCCCTAAATTATGCTCAGTTTATGAACTACTGCCTCCCACGCTCACAGCCACTTTTTGGCTTCATTGTGTACAAATGTTATTTCCTATTTCATGGTGCGTTGCGGTCTGTTTGGTTGATACATAAACCCAGTATGTCTGAAATAAATGATTCGATTCGATTCGATTCGCATAGTGGGAGCTGGTATTTGGTGTTCTGGACTCAAGTGGACGACCTAGGCGAACATAGGACCAATAAGGACGCTAGGCTGCTCATACCGATCGAACGTCATTGGTTTGGCACAGTGCTAAGATCGTATAAGTTGTATTCTGATTGGTGGATAAATCATGTGATAAGACGCCGGACATAAAGTCATAAGAAACAGTCCTGTGAAGTTACGTGTAATTTAATTTTAACTACGATACAACACGCTCCAGTCGAGTTATGAAATTAAGCCCTAAATTGACTCATGGTAAAATTCAAACCTACACGACCTTATAGTGGTTTGTCTATATGTCGTTTGTGCTCCAGTGTATGAACCTAGAAAAAGTCAATGAGTTAAGTTGTATAGACTGAAAGTTCTTGATGATCTGATAGCTCATAAGACTCAGAACCACTGAGACAAAAGAAACTAGTAACCAAAGAAAGTATATGGACAAATAGACCCATAAACAGTTACCTTTCACAGTGACCGTATTTCCACCAACAGCTTCAGGACCAATTAACTGTTCTTTCAAATCACCAGATTTATAGATAAGAATTGATGGTAAGTTGCTTGTTGGATAATTTGGAATACATAAGCTAGCTTCACCACGAAGAAATTTCACTGTGGGAAATTTTTGTGCTAATTTACGAAAATGTTGGTCAATTAAACTGCATAATCCATGCCTGTGGTATAAAATTAAAGTATTTTTGACAAACTATAACATATTTTATAGAAAGAAAATTTAAACACTAGCCAAGGATATATACAAATAAGTTCCGGGTTGTGATTGGTTAGAGGAGATTATTTAATGTAAAGTTACTAATTTTATTCACTTGTTGGGAAGTGATTACGTTGTTGGATAAGTCAACTTTCAACAAATAGCTGAGTGTCTCAAAAGACTTCCTTCGATTTACCTTGATTCCAAAATTAGCGCAGTATCAGTTCTTATGTCAGCAATGGAACTCAGAAACGATTTTACTTGATTACTCAATTTTATAAGTCAAGTGACTTAATAGTTAACTAGGCTGGAAGAAAACATCTATTTGTACTTCACTGGTGATTTTTATAATTCTTTCTACTCCATAGTGAAGACAAAAATGTAACTAATCTCAGTCATAATATGTAGTGTTGAATCATAAATACCTACCCATCAAAACGGATTCGAAACCAGTAGGAACATAAATAATAAATTAGAAATAGATTGAATGTACTTCAAAACTCCTATGATTTCCTCATATATGGATGGTACATCATAAATTCTAAATAGCGCTCATAGCAAGACTAACATACTGATAGTGTTTTAAATATCGAGGAAAGCAAGAGATCATGCATGTAAAGTAGAAGACAAATTAGAAAAAAGTTATGTTAATATACTATGCAACAAATTTGAAGCAAATTTATAGCCCCAAGTGATTGATTAAGGTCTATCATAATATTGAAACTTAACATATCCCAAAATTATTTGCATGTTATGACATGATTATGAACGATAAATCGTGTTTAAAACATCATATAGCCAGTCAGGATAAATACAACATCCGAATTTGATAAATTTTCGACAATCACTTTATTTCACTGATTACAGATAGTACACCAGAATTTTTATTTACTAAGTACTCACCCTTTTTCCCCAACATGGATTACAACAAATGTATCACCAGCATTTGTCACTTCGGTTGTCCAGTCAGCTTTGGTGACTTCCCGTACATTACCAAAACGAGATTTTGATGCCACCTCCTGCATCATCGCAATGCGTTTACGTCGATATTCTTCAAGAAAACGAGCCTCTTCATCATCAATCTCTCCATCTTCCAATAAATCAAGTTTCTCATCTAACTCATCCGATGTCAATTTATCTAAAATAGATTCTAAAAATATGAACGTTCATTAATTCTCTCTTTGAAATGAAGATAAAAATGTGTTTAAAAAGCCAATAGTATTTACTTGGATCTGGAGGTAGAGGAATTTCTTCTTCAGGTTCAATCTTTTTCGGTGGTAAAATCCCTTTCTGACGTAAAATATCGTTCCATTCAGTATCTTCGTTTGGATCCTAGTTATTGACAGGTTTTCAGAGATTAAATTAAATTCATAAAAACAAACCAACATATTCCTCACTAATGAGAATGAATTTAGAACCCGACTGAAGGAAAAATTTATCAAAATTTAGATAACAGAAACCACCAATACACAATCACATAAATATATCCATCATTGCCTCTAATTAAACAAAACAGAAAAAATTAAGTTCAAACTAAGTGGAAATGTATACTGAGCAATAAAAACAAATAAATTAACACGTAAATTGCCACAAAAGCCATCGGCTCAAATTTTCACCTCGACATCGTGCAGTTAGTAGATCAAGAAAATTGATATGTTATGCAACAAGCAAACTGAACATGAGTCGAAAAGACGAAAAAAAGAAAGAATACTATGGTTTTTAGGACATAAAAGGTAGGATTGAATGGACTTGTAATTGGTTATTATTGGTTTTACCACAACCTTTTATCACAGGTTTCAATTATAGTGAGGACATCAACAGTGAAGTTTACACCTATCTACAGATCTTTAACACAATGTTAGCGATTTTATGGTCATTCTTCAATATGGTGCTAGATAGAGTTATAAAAATGAGTGAGCGATATTAGCTATGTTTTATCCCAGCTACTTAATGCAGATCCACTACTTCGTTGGATAACTTGCCGTTATTGCATAGGCATTAGGACCGTAATTTAATATTGTTCGATTGGTAATTTTACTAATTATCGCAACCATAAAAATTAATAATAACTACTACTGGTCTGATTGTTATTGTGTAGCGAATATATATTAGATGCCCCCTTGTACCAATGTTTATGTGTTCAAGTAAATAAATAAATGACCGCCCTACTTAACGAACATTTATCATAGACTGCCTATTCGCTTGATTACAAAATTCATGTTACTCATCTTATATGACCAAAATAAAAGGAATTTTAACTTATCTTAGAAATGGGAATGACTGTTCTCTGGCATGTCCACCTATAGCTCTAAATAATTGGCCTGGAAAACATTGACTTTTACTTAATCACGATAACTAAAATTACAAGCCCAAACAACAGTTAGTTCAAGTTCAAAGTCTGACATAAATGTGTTCAAATGTGCAGTGTAAACACATCGGAGTATTTCGAACGGGTGCTAAAGCAGTCATCCAACCAAAGCTTCAAACTTTGGAGAGAAATAGTGAATTGTTTGTTCCTTTGGATATACGTTTAGGTAGGTGTTCTTGGTTACGAAGAGGTTTTATCGTTATAGTCGTTTTCAATCTGAGAGATGAAGACATTGGTTACGAATAATACGAGTGAGTGAGAAGCAACAATCTATTACAGTATGCACAGAGCTAAATTGAAAGTTGAAGCTCATTTTGAAAAACTCAGAAAAAAGGTGTCATCACTGCTAGTTTTTTAGTACAAGCATCTGATTGGCTACTGTTGTGACTCTATATCCGGTTTTTTATCACGTGATTTATCCACCAATCAGAATACAACTTATACGATCTTAGCACTGTGCCAAACCAATGACGTTCGATCGGTATGAGCAGCCTAGCGTCCTTATTGGTCCTATGTTCGCCTAGGTCGTCCACTTGAGTCCAGAACACCAAATACCAGCTCCCACTATGCGAATCGAATCGAATCGAATCATTTATTTCAGACATACTGGGTTTATGTATCAACCAAACAGACCGCAATGCACCATGAAATAGGAAATAACATTTGTACACAATGAAGCCAAAAAGTGGCTGTGAGCGTGGGAGGCAGTAGTTAATAAACTGAGCATAATTTAGGGACAGTAAATCGTATAATAATAAATTATAGGTCGAAATGGAGCTTATAATAAGGGGAACATAGATATACATAATCTAGTTACCGAATGTTTATGCCATGAGAATATATAAATAATAATACTCCATTAATAAGTCTCAGACGTTACTCGCAATGTAATCCTCACTAGGATATAACAGTTATCTTTCGCAGAACTTTTTCTACGACAGTTTTATACTTTTAGAGATGGGACACATGACTTGAGATTTTTTCAGACGAGTTGTTAGGTGAACGCTGAAGAACGTTTTGAATAGTCCAGGAGTTAGGCAACATGAGATTCTGGAAACAGATCCCAAGACAAAGTATGTCCCGTAGGCTGTGAAATAGAACTAAGGAAAGACCTAGAACATCGCATATGATGATTCCGAGGTGTTCATCAGTGGAAAGTGTGGTGTTGACATTCCTAAGAAAGTATGAGGCTGACGTATTACTACAGTTCGCAGGCTTCATTCCGCGCCTACTGGTGGTAAGAGGGAACAAGCTTCTGTTGATCCAGTCGCATACCCTATGCACATCTTGATGAGGTCTTATCTTTCTTTAGACCATGATGTTATCCGCAAATAATAGATCTTGGTGATCTAAAGTGCAAGTCATTTCACGCTACTTGTTACTTTATTAAAACGAGCACTTCAGAAGTGCGAGTTTTACGGCTGCATACGAAGAATATATATATATATATATATATATATATATAACTTCAGGTGCTTCAACTAATCGGTCCCTATCATCTGTCAACGAAAAAGACCTTGAGAAGCTGTACGACACCGCGACGCCAGATGATTTTCACGATATGAGAGACAAATTACAAAAGCGTAATCAAAGAAGACAAGGACATGTATGTATTAATTTAAAGTGATAATTAGTCTCTACTACCCTATATGTACAGTCTTCAGAGTTAACGAACATAACCGTAAATGAAGCTTCAAGTAGCTAGTTGTGTAAAAGCATGTCATCTAGATATCGTTGTAACTTTTTCGGTCTTTACATTTCAGAATTCACAAGATTATTTTGACTCTCAATACTCAAACAGGCGTTACGAAAAGAATTAATCGGTGTAATATTTAACATGTTCAACTACGTTTACAATAAACATTTTTAAACATGGACTTTATTTCTTAATTGCATGAGAAACTCTTTGACTAGGTGTTGAGAAAGCCTGTTTGGTTTAAAACGCATTTGCAATTAAGTACATGTGTTTTACTAGTCTTTTCAAACTACAATAAGCCTTGGTAATCACAATTAAAATACATACATGCTCTAGCATCTACCAGCTACTCATAATGTTGTAAAATGTTACGCCTTTTCTTTTCAATAAATTTATTTAAACATGTACCATTTTTGCAAGGATTTCAGTTTTCGTCTAGTGTGATCTGGGAATAAAGGAGAACACATGAGACGTTTTGGATTATGCCAAAGTGCTGAAAGTGGAAGAAAAATCAGATAAATTGACGTGTATATATGCGAAGAGCAGACAATTCGGCGACATTTGAAACACAGAGCGATACAAAGGGCAAAATCCGCATAGCATCCCTCCGGAAAGGCGAAAAAGCGGACATTTTGGCGCGTTCCACTGTCGTTTCCCCTCTACTACCCTTTTGTTCACCTTTATTCCTATTTTATTGGTTGTTTTTGGTAGCTCAATAGGGTACCATATTAAGGTATATGATTAAGGAACTAAAACGCTTCACTATAATCAGACTTCGTAAATAACCGATTTTCATATTATGTATCTCCGATCTATCGTTTATTACATACTGATTCCTGAAATAACACTGGGTTAACACTGTGCATCCTCACAACTACCTTGACGTGCTGGCTACTGTAACGCATTGTGTGTATAGTCCGCCAATCAAATTGTTTAAAATGGTTCAAATGGTTGTCTTCAGTCTTCAGTAATAAGGATAGGAGGTCTATCGACCTATATTAATCCTTGCAGTTTGTAATACTGTGAAGGTCCAATCTCGTTTGGAATATATTAACAGACGGTGCTGATATTACGTGTTTCGGTAGAGAATTCCAGTAATTCACTACTCGGTGCGAGAAACGGAACTCCAGACGTAAATGGTTTGATCTCGGTTTTTGAAATTTCTTCGAATGTCCTCTCAAATGATCGGTTTTAGATGGAAGCGAAAGATAAGACATGTTAATACCAAGGTCCTCGTTCAGTACACGATAAACCAATATTAGATCACCCCGTATTCTACGGTAAGATGACGGGAATAAGTTAAGGTATCTCAGTCTGTCTTCATAAGATAGGCCAGCTAGACCTTGTACCATCTTAGTAGCTCGTCGTTGGACTCTTTCTAGCATATCTGCTTCATACTTGAAATAAGGACACGCTGCTTGAATCCCGTATTCTCAATGTGGTCGCACATAAATCGGGTATAGTAATCCAAACATTTCATCATCTAAATACTGGGAAGACCTAAGAATTGACCATAATACCCTACAGCCCTTTGCAGCAGCAGCCTTACAGTGACTAGTGGTTTTGAGATCATTGCTTAATATGACTCCTAAATCTTTATAGCTTCTTGCTTTGTGTAACACGAATCCACGTAGTGTATAGTCATACGATTCATCAGAGTTATTTCACTGCATCAATACACTCTTATTAGGATTTACTTCTAGTGACCACCTGTCTAACCATGCCACCAATGAGCTAAGATCGTCCTGTAATACTATTCTATCCGATATACTATGTATGGGTCTCCAAATCTTTATGTCATCAGCGAAGAGTAGAACGGATGATTTTGCTACAGTTGGCAATTCATTTACATAAAGTAAAAAGAGAAGAGGACCTAGGATTGTACCTTGGGGAACCACACTTTTTACAGGTACCCACGAGGAGAGAGCCCCTTTAACCCTTACCCTTTGTCTCCTGTCATGGAGAAAGTTACTTATCCAATCGACGACTGTATAATGGATTCCAAAACGTTCCAGTTTTAAGTTAAGACCAGAGTGTGAAACCTTATCAAAGGTTTTACTTAGATCTATGAAAATCACATCCACAGGAGCATTCCGATCCTCCGCCGCAGCCCAATCTTCTCGTGCAATGAGAAGGTTTATCAAGCAAGATAGGCCTTTCTGAAAACCATGTGCCATGGAGAAAAGATCTCGCTCTTCAACAAAGTTTATAACAGCTATCCGAATGATTTTCTCCATCAGTTTCACAACTGCACTAGTTAAGCTAACGGGTCTATAGTTACTAAATCCCTACTCCCAGCCTTATACACCGGACTTATTATGGCGACTTTCCAGTTTCTAGGAAGTCTGAACTGTCTCAGAGACATGTCAAATAGTATCGTTAATGGTTCAGCAATTTCATCTGATATGGCTTTCATAATCATAGGATGAATATCATCAGGACCACTGGACTTATCAGGTTTGAGATGCTGAAGTAACCTTAAAATAGTATCTTTCTCAATGACTACAGGATCCATCAGCGAGCCGTCACGTTCGCGATGAATTGTTGGTCGTTCCTCATTACCGATAGAAAACACTTTACTAAAATATTCCGATTAATCTTCATCCTTCTCGGCATCATTCTCTGCTAAGATTAACGGATTGTCTCGTATCAAAAGTGATGGAATTCCATCGCTTCTCTTAGTTCGCCCTTTTATATACGAGAATAACCGTTTAGGACTATATCTAGAATCCCTAACCAATTGTTTTTCGTATGATAGTCTAGGCATTCCTAATCTTACAGTAACTGGATTTGTATTGTTCTAAGCCAGTAGAGATGAACACATCCCAGTGATTCTTCCTTTTCTAAGGAGTTTCCTGACCGTTTTAGTTATCCATGGTGGACTATTATTCGGTCTTCGCGGTACCAGGTATTGTATGAACGGGGACGTAACTAGTCTAAATTTACCTTTAAATACAGACCATGCTTCTTCAACTGATATGCCAGTATCTACCAACCAATTTGTCTTAGCAGCGCATTCCTGAATGGCTGATATGTTAGCTTTCCATACATTTGGGCGAGGTGTAACCTGATCGTATAACATGTCCCTAGTTCGAAACGTGAATGACAAAACAGCGCGATCGCTGTTCACTAACGGCGGGAGAATATTTAAGTCGACAGTATCCTCAGTCTCATGAGTGATTACCAAATCCAGCAAAGAAGAACCCTGGTTAACACCAAAACGCGTGGGTTTGGATAAATGCTACACTAGTGCATGCTCCATTATTGTTATCAGGAACTTACTATCAAAGGAGTTTATAGATCCTTCTGTGGTCATATCAGTCCAACTAATATCAGGTGCATTAAAGTCTCCTATTATCAAACATCTGGTATTTTCACTCCAAAGATGAATGTGCTCTAAAACAAAGTCATCAGCTAGGCAGATTGGGCTCCGATAGATGACACCTAGCATAAATGTGCTACATCCTATAGCCAACTTACAGCTAATGACTTCACAAGTGCCGCTATCATGAGATTCGCTAGTAGAGGAGCGGATATTTATGCTATTGGCTATGTATAACAGGACGCCGCCTCCTTTCCTACATCTATGTCTATCACTCCTGACGCAATGGTATCCGGATAATTCTGGAGTAATGTCTAAGTCATCGACTAACCAAGTTTCTGTCACTGCTACTATGAGTGGCTTTAACCTGTCCACTAGTGCTTCTAGTTCATAGAACTTATTTCGTAGGCTACGAGCGTTGGCATATAAAACTCCTAAGTAGAACAGCCTATCCACACAGGCCTTGGTAGCATTCGCTTCCAAGACCTAACTATCCGAAAACCCACTAGCCTGAGATTTTCCTCGCCGTTTTGCCGACGGGTTCCAAGTTCAGCTAGTGCTTTCTTCCTTTTTATTCTATCTTCGAGAGATATGTCAGGTCTAACTCGGATGTCAGAATTGTCGTGACAACGAGTGCTACTTAACAAGAGATCCCGTTGATTCTCCGATCCTAGGATTACCTTAAAGAGCCTGCATGGGCGTAGTTCAACATTGTCCTCGGTCCTCTTGCCTATTCTAACCAATTTTTGACCTGAACTCCTTTGGAGTTATCTGGTAAAATACTACGAATGTATTCTCCTAGCTTTTCTAAGTCATGTGCGTGTCTAATTTTCGGATCAGGGTCGTTTGACTCCCGCAATTTGCTCACAATAATATTCGATGTTATTAGATTTTTCTTCTCAGTCACGCCAGGACTGGTTTCACTCTTACCACCAGATCTTGGTAGTGCAATTTGTGGCTCACAATTTGAGTCCACCAGTGAGTTACTAACTACCTGTGTACTGCCCACAGATTTTTTCTTTTCGTTTCGTTTCCTACGTACCGTAGTCCATTTTTCATCCCTCATAACACTGGGACTATTTGGAACGGTGACTGTTTTATCCAGATCTTCGGTTCCCACTAAAGGTGCATTAATCACAATGTCAGTACCAGGTGGTACTACTCCCCTGTTAATGTCAACGAAGATTTCACTTTTACGTCCGTCAGAGTCGGTTGTTTGAGGCGTCGCGTAACAGCAGGTACTACACTGACACATTCGTCACTGTCAGTGCCCGTGTTGTCAGCGCATATGCCATCGTTCTTCTTACAGGCCAAAACCAATAGGCTCATAGCCTACTGTATTGGTAATGCGTTGTTGGCACAGCAAAACATGCAAAGCCAATGTGAATTAGTCTTCGAACATCTTTTGTATGCGGTGGCACGAAAACGGGGCACATTTTGTGGAACCACTTATTGCATTCGTCACACTGTATTCCCTCCTCCACAGGGAACAAACAGTTTGGTTGTCCACATTTGTGAGTACTACCAACCATTTTATTCAGATCAAGGTGTAACACACGATATGATCACAGTATGAACACAAATGTCAGTCAACGAATAAAAGGTTACCACAAGACAAACTTTAGCAAGATTTAAAACCTTAACTAAAGTACTTTGATACAGACCAAGAATGCTTTCGAATGTAATAAATACACAAAAGCCAAAAAAACTCAATAGAATATCACTTTAATTGTAGTAGATTCAGTTAAAGTGTAAATCGTAGTTTTGATACGTAATTTACGATCAAAACAGTTGACTAATTCAACTAGAAACAATACCACTGTCCTTTTTAGACAGCGCGCGTCAAGAAGAAGCTTTCTCTCAACAGGCTTCCGTGTCTATTAGCAGGGATCATCAATACATTCAGGTAGGAACCTAGGTATATTAGTTATAATAGATTAGAAAAAAATTGGTAACTCATAATTAGATGTTATTCTGAGTCCTTAAGAATAGGTCAAGTTTCCCCTTAAAGGACTCCTGGGATGTCGCTTGGACTAGTTCAGTCGGCAGCGAATTCCAGCATTTGGCAACCCTTAAGGAGCAGAAAATGCGTCTACAGTTCGTCCTGCTATGTTGTGTCTTCAGCTTCTGGGTGTTACCTCCTAGGTTTTTATTGACACTAATCTTAAGCAGGTGTTTAAGGGGATGTCCAGAAGTGTTAAAAACACTGTAAGCCATTAGAAGATCACCTCTAAGACTCATATGCTCTAATGAGTAAAGGTTAAGTGATTGTAGGCGCTCCTCATAAGGTTTACGTTTGAGTCCTCGAACTGATTTCGTGGTTCGCCGTTGGATACGCTCCAGAGTGTCCTTATCCTTTGGAGTGAGGGAGAAATACTATGTTTCCGTGCTCAAAATGGAGGCGAATAAAACTGTTGAAGATTATGTGGAAAGTTCTTCCGTCAAACTGGCCAAAAATTCGTTCCGATGTTACCAATGCAAGGTTTGCTCGAAAGGCATTTTTGTCACAGTCAGCGTAAGACTTAAAATCGTAGGGCTTCAGGACTCCTAAATCTTTTTCGACTCGGGATACTAATAGAG